CTCGTTGAAAAGCTAATGTCCTTCACAGTTGAAATACGCCATCACATCCCCGGAGTCCATCAGACTCCATCGAATCTCATAGGATCTTTTATTTTACCTTCTGAGTACACCACATCAGGTGACTCCAAGTGACTTCACAAGACTGGGATCCCATCTAGTCTGCTATTTCTCTAGTGGACTCCACCCTATCACCTGATTCCACCTCATCAATTAACTCCAACGCATCAAGTGACTTCACTTGACTCCAAATGACTCCATGCGTCTGGAGTCCGCTGTTTCCCCCTTGGCTACACAACGTCTTCAACTGAAGGAAAAAGTTTGCTGAACGTTTTAAGATGTCCCTGCTCTCTACATGTTCTGTTGTTTTTCTTTGTATTTTTTGCCGTTTTCTAAACGGCAGAACATGTAGGGAGAAGGAATGTCTCATAGCACACTTTTCCGTTCAATTGAAGACGTTGCAAAGCTCTAGGCGTGTTTTCGTTCAAAAATCATAAGGGAAACAAAATGCAGAAAAAATGTTACGGAATTACACTGTGGTCGTAGAGTTAGGTGGCCAAGCCGTGATGTAAAACGTTGAGAAGGAAGAAAGGAGATATCCAATATCGACATGACAATACCACTGAAACGGTGAAACGACGAGTAAAAAGACTTTACGAATATGAATCAAATTTATAAAGTTTAGAAAATAACAGTGTTTGAGAATAAGATTCTTATCAATTTTCTTAGAATATCGATCTCTAAGTACTCAAATCTTTTCTGATTGGAAAAAGCATTTTATTTTCTTCATTGTTTCTGTTTTCTCTACCTTATAATATTTTCTTCACTAAAAGTTTGCTGCCTAAAAATGTATGATTTTTAAAAAAACATTTTTATATTCATTATTGCACATTTCATGTTTATTTTTTAGTAAAAAAAATAAACTAGTCTCCATTTTTCAAAAAGCAACAAGAAAAGGTATCAAAGACGGACAATTTGAAGATAAATAGTTTGCATATAATGGTTTTTGTTTATGGTCAAAATTACAAAATAGATCTAAAAACAAGAGTAAAAAAACAAATGGTTTCAATCATGCATAGTATCTGTTAAAACAATAGAAAAAGAATCTCCAACAAAACATAGAAAATAATACCCATTAATATTAAAATTACATAAAAGTAGTTGAGGTAAATTATTATGCAATAACGATGTATCACTATTAAAAAATATAAAATATAAATAAAAATACTAAGATAAAGAAAGTGAATCCATTTTTAAATAAGCTTTTGGAACTTTGCCACGTTGCTTTCCATCTTTTTCCACAGTAATCCATTCTGAATCATTTGAATCGTCATTGACAATATTTACGGTCTAAAATTAACAACAATCAATAACAGCACATCATCACATAGTATCGAGCAATTTTTCTAATTTCATACGCCTCGCACCAATCTAAAAAATGATTAGTAGATACTATAATTTTTGAAATATGCTGCTTGCTAGGTTTTTTTTTAATCAACAGATATAAAATGATAGCAAAGCAAAAGATCAAAAGCAAAATGAGTACCTCTTTTGCAAGTACACTAATTTCATTTGAATCTGTCGCATCATAGTCAAATTTAACAGTGGCAACACGTTGTTGCTGAATTGATTGTTTTTTAGGCAATGATGTTAACGAATTTGTACTAGGTTTTGTTGTTAAACTAAAGAAACCATTTAACAAAATAGAAGCAAAAGCCACCAAAAATATTCCCAATAGAAAAAAGAATAAAACACTCAACGTCAAGAATTCAAACATTATTATTATATTTCATATTTACCCAAGTTGTTTTCTTAAATCTTCTAAAACTTGAACAGATTGTTTATGATATTGTAATTCCGATTCGACAAGATCATTTAAACAACGTAAATGATGATTCTTAAAATGAAAAAAACAACAACAAAAAACTAAAGAGAGTAAGATGTTGAAAGATGGAGTAAACTCACATGTGAATTAGTAACACCATCAAGCATTAAACGTGTAATTTCATATTGACGATCAAATTCAGTTTGAGAATTACGAATTTCAGCATCATTCTATTTTTAATATAAAAATAAGAAAAATGTGATCTTTTCAAGTTAAAAGTTATTTTTACATCTAAAACAGCAGGACTAGCGGGCGTTGGAGTGTTCGCTTTGGTTTTCTTCTTTTTTGATCGTGCCGCATCTAAATCAAGACGTTTTGTTTCCAAAGTACGACGTTCTTTCTAAAGTAAAATAAATCTAAAGTTAGAAAAGTGATTAATACTTGAAATCAATCATAAAATATACTGTCTAGATTATATATACTATTTCAGATTTTCAATAATTATACGGTATTAGAGACGACTTGTAACAAATAAGTGTACAGAAAATATGAATATCTTTCAAATGAAAGCTATTGTAAAACGTACATGAAATGTTTTGAAGAAAGTTAAATTTGACTTCATACAAAAAACCTGTTATCATAATGTTAGTTAATGTATAACCATAGTATTATTAAAATTTTAAATTAAAGCGTTAAAACGCTGTTATAGAAAGCAGCACGAGCAATTCAAATAGAGAGAGCATTCATACTCTAACTTACTTCAAAAAAATTGTCTAGAAAACGACAAATTCTACATACAATTTCAGATAAAATAAGTGTTGAATACTTACTATCAATGATTTCATTTCACCGTCGAGATAACTTTTCAACGGTTGAATGAAAGATGTAGCAGATGATTGAACAAATTCTTTTTCTGCTAAACCCAATTTTAAATGTGTATTTCCACATTTGATCAAAGCACTACCTGTTTAAAATGATACAAAAACTTTGATTAAAGAATACTCTTTTAGTTACAATTACCATATTGTGTAGATGGTCCAAAATCATTTCCTGCATCACACATCACTTGTCCTAATATTTCAAGATTATTTGGCTTATTGACAACTTTTTGATCAAGTTTTGTTAAAATAAAATCTTCCAAACGTTCGTCTTAAAATAATAACAAATAAAATGTGTTAACACGTCATAACCACAAGTAGAGTCCTATGTATTTGACTTTTCGAACCCGATCTAGAGACCTGTCCCAAATCCGAAACTAAAAAAAGTTTTTTTCAGTAAAATAGCGCCCTCTTTCATGTGACTGCAGTAAGCAGCCAAGAAGTAAAAATTCAATCAAAATGATGATAGTTTTAGTGACAGTGAAAATCAACAGCCTTAAGAAAAAATTTCTTTCTATTTCTATTTTTATCATAAACATTCAGTAAGCACTGAAACTACTTTCATTTTTTTGCTTTTGTATTGAATATAAAATAAAAGAAGTTATCTGAAAAGAAAAATGCGACCTTGCAAGAAGAAACCCGATCCTGAACAGGAAAAAAACTTTCTGAGATCGGTTTAAAATCGTAGGACTCTGGCTACAGTATAATTTCTTTGCACGAAAATATCAGGTCATGAATATTCTGAAGTTAACATCTGAGTTAGCCAATCGATAGAGCTCATCGAGTTGAGTATAGCAACACCTAACGAACACCCCAAAACGTTTTTATAGCCCCGCTTTTTAAGCATACATTTTCAATGAACACCCACGAACATCCCAAACTGTGTGTCAAATACATCTGCGTCTCAGTTCACAAGATGAATTGAACACACAGTTTGGGGTATTCGCAGATGTTTGTGGGTGTTCATTGAAAATGTATGCTTAAAATGGGAAGCTGTAAAAACTGTTTTGGGTGTTCGTTAGGTGTTGTTATACTCAACTCGACGAGCTCTATCGATTGGCTAACTCAGATTTTAACTTGGAAGTATTCATGGCTGTTCGTGTTTTTTTTAGTAATATCCAAATATCAGCGTATCGGAGAATGATTGCACCTGATTTCACGGAAAAAAGCGTAGCCAAAAACTCATAAATTGAAATCCTGCACCAGTTCGTCAATACAACGTTACGTTCATTTTAAAATTTTAATGACATTTCTTCCAGCTGTTGTTCTTACTTGGATTCGGTTGTAAAACACCTTCAACATGTTGCGATAATCTTTCTGTCCAAATCTTTGTTTTATCCGCTCGTGCTAATAATTGTTCAAAGTTTGAATCGAATTCCGTTTTATCTATTGCTTGTCCGAGTTTTTCTTCGGTAAACTGTTTTGCACGTGATAACAATGTGCCTGCTGATTGTGACGCCTTTTTTAGATCAAAATTAAAATTCATTTTTTTTTACAAGGAGATATGTAATCTAAAATCAAAAAGTACAATTCTCCAGTCAAAAACATATAGTAATACTAAAATGAAGACATTCTTCCGTTTTTTCTCTCATTTTTCTCTTTATTAACATTCTGGGATTAATCATTGTTAATTTTGTATTTTGATGAGAAGTAAGTCTTTGTGTGTCTATATACACACTCATCTTTTACGAACATGAGAGAAGAAAAACAAGGAAAGTACCACAAAAGTTTAATTTTTGTTTAAACGAAGAAAAAAAAAAATCTAATCTTCGCTCACGCTTACGCACACGTCTTTTTTACTTTGTCTTCTGTTCTGACAGTAGATTGGAATTATTTTCTTTAAAAAAAAAAAGAAGAAAAAGAAACGAGAAAAAAAATGACATTTTTGTTTTCTGAGTTAAAGGAAAAAGCCAAACAATAGATTTTATATATTTCGTTCCAGTCCCTTTTGTTTTCAAAACAGAAATCGTTTAGTCTAGAGTCGTATATTTGTCAAAATTTTCAATTATATAGTTTTTTCATGTTTCTGCCATTCTTCATTCATACAAAAAAAAGCTAAGTACTATAAATATCAATGGTACCATTATAAACGTATATATATCACGGAGCGTTTTTTTCTCAACAAAAAAATAAAAAAATAAAAATAAAAGTAGATCAATTTATTTTGCTCAAACATAAATATCATAACAAAAAAAATCAAGGGAAGAAGACGATTCTCATACGGTTGATAGACTAGTTTAGACTCTATATTTCCAAGTTTGAGAAACAATTATTTGTAATTAATAAAGTTGTATGCCTATTTCTTTTTGTTCAATGTGTCAAAAACAATTGTATTGATTTATATTTGAACTATCAGAAAAAAAACTAAGCTACATTCGCTTCAGTTTTATAATAATAATAATATACCTGTTTTCTTCTTTTCGTGATCGCACTACGACTTATACTAGAAAAATATTTTTTTTTTCTATTAACGGTCTACACTAAACTATTGAGTCTATTCTTTCTATTCTTTTCTCAGTATATATCTTATTCAAACATTTTCTAGAACTAAATCATTAACTCATTGAAATAGAAAGTCAATATTTGCAGAAAAAAATCGAAGATATAGTGTAAGATGGTTGGGAATAATGAATTATGATGCACAAAAGCGAACTGGTTAGTCTTAAAAAAATTATTCACAACACATATGACGATGAAGAATGACTAACTTCAAACTATTTAGTAACAGATCATTTTTTCAAGACTAGTGCACATAAGATTTTTCATACCATCTTTTTTTGTACTATAGTGATGTCTTATGAAGGAAAATGAAGAGAAATATAAAAAAAGATAATACTCTATCGAGACCTGATACATTGTTTTTTGACACTCGAGTGTGAGAAAAAAGATGATAGATGTGTAAAAAATCTCTAGCACAAAAAAAAAGTTTGGACACTAATTATTTTCTGATATTTAATATGCAAAAAATTGTTTATGCATAAATGATCTTTTAGAAATACTGAGATACATCAATGATAATGTGCTGAACAGATCTACTTGGCATAGTACGGACTAGTCATCCACTATTTTGAACCATCATAATCAGTCGATCAAGCACTTTGTTTAGTGTCTCGCCTCCAGATACATTTTACACAATTATCGTCAAAGACACATTCTTTGTATGACAGAATAAATTTGTTGGGTCCAGACTATTTTAACAGAATAATTACCGAAAATAAGACCAGAAATCACATGACTGACAAATTCAATGTAAAATAGTATTTTGGTAAAGACATATAAAAATAGTATCAACCACCGAGCCTCTCGGAGAATACCACTTCAAGTCTTTGAAATAAGCTTGCGAAGGGCTCACAACCGTATTTTCGATTTTTTAGAAAACTTCAAGTATTCAACAATAGGATTCACAGAACCCATGCATCAAGAGAACAAATGAAAAACTTTCGAGCTCTCCGCGCATTCATTCTGCGAATCCTGTCGTCGAATACTCGAAGTCAACAATTGTCTCACCTCATCTACACTAAACTATTTACAACATTCTTATTCAGGTCATGGAATGTTTCCATTTCGGTGTCCGTCATCAATTTATTCGATATCGTAAACAGCTTTCCCAATTAAGAAGGAGACTGTCTTACTAAAATTTTGTACTTAGAATTTTGGTGATGACTAGAGATTATTTGCCCCCATTCAATTGAAAACAGTTTCCTTACACTCACCAAAAATGGTCGAAAATACTGATCGTACAACAGTCTATAGAGTAGTGGTCGTATATGAGACGCAAAATATCTAGCATTCTGTAGACCAGCCAGTATGCACGTTCCTTCGAGTAATTCTCTTTGACATGCCTCTTCAGTAGATGTGCCACGTTCAATAAAACAAGCTAAATATAGATTTCGGAAATTTCGGTTTCAAATCTTAAACCTAAAACTGTTCCTCTGGGTATTTCCGATTGTCATCCGACAGCATAAGTTCTCTCCGAGAGATCTTTAAGCATCTGAAAAGCTGGGGGGGAGACATGTAGCATGAACGTGAGTCATCATATAAAATTTTAGTTTTAGTTTTGGAATATTTATGCCTGTGTAGAACAAGTGTTAGTCTTGACTATGTTTAACTACCATCTAATGATTTTTTTTATCTAAATAATCTTTGTTAGTAATTTACGAATAAATTTATAGTTTAATATTATGTGCGATTGAGTTTAGCTGATGGCCAAGGTCAGTATGAGGCTGTTCCAGTAGATAAAATGATTCTCGATTATGCTCAACATAACGTTGTTGTTGTGATGGTAGCTGCTGATCAATATCAGCAATACTATCTACGCGAACATGGAGGAATGTATTTAGATTAGCAAGGTGGAAGGACAGTATGAGACTCATTTCAGGCATGTACTCTATGTCCATGTAGTGGCCAACGCCCAGGGGAATTTTCACAATTCGCTAAATATATGTCCCATTTCGAAATTAATATGCGAGTAATAATAGTATAATATTGTCTACGTATCAGACCAGAGTCATCTATGCAAAACTGTTTGAGAAGGCAAACAACAACAAATATATAGAAACCATAAATGGGGCTTACGAAGGAACATTTTTTGACTGTCTCACTTTTCCCTTGGAACCTACTTGATTATAGGTTTTTTTTTATCCTGATTACAAATATATCGTCCATTTCGAATGATGCCGCTTTTTCAACTGGATCTCTGATATTTTCAGAACTAGATTCAATGAGTCACAAAAATGTTATTGTAACTAGAAGCTGTCAAATTCTACTTCTGCAAGAGATCAATGAGTCAATTTTCTATGCCTCATCGAAAACTTCTTTGATAGTTGTGAAAATGTTTTTTTTATAGATAACCGGACGCGTTCTACAAAGTGAACAAATCCGTTGATTATGGAATTTAGCGTGGATATCCAAGAGAGCGGTTTTTCAGAGATTCAGCCACGTCACCCAAAATGGACAGCATATTTATAATCAGCACAAAAAGTGATTTTATAACCCAGTAGATTTCAAGAGAAAAGCAATTTATCATTAAGGAAAGTTTTTCGTTAGTCTAATTCCGTATTACTTACGAGGGAACGTTTTTAAGTGCCCCCTCGCTTTATTAACGAAACCAAGTGGGTTATAGGTTATCGATGATGCTGATTCCAAATATGAATATGAGAGCTGCTCTTAGGGTTTCGAAGACCCGATTTTCCGGAAAACCAGTTTTTCAGAAACTCTGGAAAACCAGTTTTTCAGAAACTCTGGAAAACCAGTTTTTCAGAAACTCTGGAAAACCAGTTTTTCAGAAACTCTGGAAAACCAGTTTTTCAGAAACTCTGAAAAACAACTAAAACTTTTCTTAATGAACCATGCTTGTAGCCCATACATTTCTGATTAAAATGAGACCTCTCCCAACTCTACATGACTTTTCTTTGCAAAGTTATCGAATTTACAAGAAAAGCCGTAAAATAGTTTCTTATTTCTGTAGCTTTGAGTTGACAATGAATATTTAGGGCTCTTCGTGTAAATTCGATAACTTTGCAAAGAAAGGTCATGTAGAGCTGGGAGAGGTCTCATTTTAATCAGGCTATAAGCATGGTTCATTAAGAAAAGTTTTAGTTGTTTTTCAGAATTTCTGAAAAACTGGTTTTCCAGAAAACCGGATCTTCGAAGCCCTAAGAGCAGCTTTCATATTCATATTTGAGATCACCATCATCTATAACCTATAACCCACTAGGTTTCGTTAATAAAGCGAGGGGGCACTTAAAAACGTTCCCTCGTTAGTTCAATGGTATCTAAATCTTATCGACTTTTTACTTTTTGATGATTTTAATTAACTAATTGTTGTCATGCAATGCCTAATAAAACTATAATCTCGTTTGTTTGTTTAACTAATTCTTGATAACTCAGCCATACAGAATATCTTAGCTTTTTAATTCCCTTTTGTCAAACCATGGAAGTGATTCGAGTTGTGCTTGTCTACTTTGAAATAATATTTGATGATTTTAGCTGTAAATTCAATGGATAATTAGTAGTATAGTTGAAAACATTGAAATTTGGTATATGATAAGAAATTTACAGTGAATGATTTCTATTGTCCATCGTGTGTCACTGGTGAACGTAAACGACGCTAGGCACTCGTTGTGATCTTTGAGAATCAGTAGGAATATTCAAAAATCTACATAGAATAGAACAACAAAAAGCGATGAAATATCTGTCAGTTTAAGGGTATCGACCCCTCCTTTTTCACCTTGTTGTCAAATACGGAGCTTTTTCTTCTCGAGATATACGAAAAATGCTGAAAATCACGCAAAAAAAGTCAGATTTTTTTAGTTTTTTCCACTAACTTTCAGCATTTTTTGTATATCTCGAGAAGAAAAGCATATTTTTGGAAAAAAAATTCCATTCGGAGATAGGGTCTGAAATATCCGTAGTAAAAATTTGAGCTCGATCAAGACCATTTTTTCGAGGGGCCATAATGTGCCTGGATGAAAACTGGAGTTTTTCAGAAAACCCATATAAGAACATCTAAGAGAATAAAAAAAATTTTTGCAAAAATATATCAATTTTCTTTTTCGATGTTCCATCTCTGCTATAAATTTGAGCTCAATCAGACGTGTGCTTCGCATTTGACAACAAGGTAAAAGAAGAGGACGAGGGTACCCTTAAAATATAACGTATTCCACTTACAGTGTTTTCTTAAAAAACAATTTCCCAAAGTAAAAGCGTTATAAAATTTATAGTTTATATTTTGAACAAACGTGTTTTTACATTCTATTCATTCTAACAAAAATGATATGAGATGAATTTTAACTTTTTAAAGACATTAACTAAGAATAATAAGCCTTATTTTTGTTAATTGATATTTTTCAATCTCTTGGATTTTGTACAATTCTAACAAATTTGGCTCCTCGAATAATCTCTTTATTGTAAAGTAATACGATTTTTCTACTAAATTGATAAATTTGTAAAGAATGTTTAATTTTGGCTATTTAATTCAACTTAAATAAAGGTAATAAAGGAAACTTATATAAAAAGAAACGATATTTATGGACAGATAACAAATGAAAACATAAGTTTTAATAACCTAATGTGTAAATATTATTAGCAAAAAAACGAAAAAAAACAAACAAATGAAACTGCAAAACAAACATAATAATGATTGGGTATAAATATATGTTGATTAATTATACTTCACAGATATTATAAAAAAAGAATATCTAAGAGCTGAAAGAAATGCATCAAAAAAGAAAAAAGAAAAAGTATTAAAAAAGCTTTTGTTCATGCACTAGTTTTTATTATATATGAAATTTTAATAAATTAAAGAAACAAATGACGAGCTATTATCACATATTAAAAATAAATGTTAAGATGGTATGTATGATGTCTATTCTATTTTGATTATCAGAATGGAAGATACATAACGTTCATCATTCATGACTAAATTCTCGAACTGACGACAATAGATACATTGTCATTTGATTGGTAATTGCTCATAAATATCAAAGAGAATAACAAAAACAACAATAAATAGTATAAATAGTCAGATATTCATATTTTACACAACAAAACGGTAAAAATATTCTATTGCATTAAATAAAAGCATATTCACTATCAGTTAATATTAAAAGTACTAATAGTTATATAGCTTTTCCAATTATAGCACGACGAGACTATCACCGGGGTTATAAGAGACACATCTGTGCCTTTTGTTAAAATTATGCTCATTCTATTAAACAACAAATTTTTTTTCTTGTTCATTAATCATTATTGTTGAATTTGATAATGGTAATTCACCACTATTGAGCATTTTTGGTGGATTATGAACAGGATTCAACGAATATAAATAAATGCTACATGCTACAACTAATATGGCAATAAATGTATAAAAACTGATCGGTATAGAGAATAACAGCCATGCTAATAGCCCCGTAAATAATAATTCTAAAGCAGATGCAAACGTTTTCAATATAGCATCCATTGCTTTTAAAAATAGACTTGTTACAATGCCAATACAAGCATTGTTCAATATAATTAAAAATATAAGTGGTTGTTTTTGAAATATTATTGAGAATGTTGTTGTCAGTTTATCGTTTAAAGCTATATTAGGTTCTTGTTGATCGAAATGTGCTAACAATACAAAATTACATAATATTGAATCTGCATACCTATAAGAGAAAAAAAATAAAAATAAAGTGCCATTTTTCAATATTTTCGAGTAATATTTAAGTTTAAACGATGTTGTGTTTAATTATCAAGACTTACATGTAGATATTTTGTAACATAATATCAATATTTACTCCTCGATCTTTTAATAGATATTCATTATAAACACCAGCAAAACATGAACAAAAAACCTGAATTAATATAAATAATAAATTTATATTTAAAAATGAAAACTTTTGAGTGTAAGATAAAAGATCACGATCTTGTAATAATGTATCTGATGTAACAGAATTAGGAGATATTGTTGATTTGATAGAAGAGCTATCCGTCGATTTATTTGCATATTCTAATTGTTTTATAATGCATCCACATGTTAACAGAACGAGTGATAACCATTGCATACGAGTTAAACGTTTATGAAATAAACACTAAACAAAATTAACGCATGATATATTACAATCTTTATTTTTATTAGAATATTATTATCATACTTGAAATATGACTCCAGTAACAACAACACGAAATTGTAGTAGAAGAAAATAGGTGGTAGGATCGTATGCCGATAAATTAACAAATGCCAAATTATTATATAAACAATACATAATACTTGGAACAAAATAGAGAACAATTACTGAAATGAAAAAAGAAACAAATTGAAGAGTGTATTTTCTAATTCATCTACTCATCTTACACATTTTATTCTCTGTAACTTCTTTTTTCATTTGAACAAAACTATGACTAAAAAAATATAAATAAAAATGATGATTTTAGACTAAAAACTACGAAAAATTAAAACTATCTCATACTTTTTTCTATAAAGAAAAATGGCTGCAATTAATTTGACTATTTCTGTAAATAAAACGACACTAATTGTATTATACGAATATTTTTGTTTGTCATTTTTAGATGCTGTTACAAGTAAACCTAGAATAAATCAGAGATATTTGAATAATTTTTATTTCAAAAATTGCTATCGTACCTTGATTAATAAATAAGGCCATGTATGATATAAAGATAAAAAAACTCCATTTTGTTGGAAATAATTCGGCACAGTTCATATTTTTATTTAGATACTTAACATACATCAAAAATCTATAATGATACCAATGGATTCTGCGATATAATCTCATGTTAGCAACCATGGATGGAGGAGGTAGAAGGAGGAGGAAGAGGAGGAGGTAAACTATAAGGAAAAAATAACAAAATTGTAGAAATTGAAGTATCAAAACGGTTAAAATGTTCAACATAATATATACAAGTTATCCTAGAATAACTTTGAATACAAATAAGATAAAAGTGAATAATCAAGTCTCAAATGATATGTTTAAATCCAATTAAAATGAAAAAAATAATTTTGATTATGAAAGAATTGAATTTCTGTTTTTCTTTCTCTCTCTTTCTCTCTCTTGCTGCATTCTGAAAGAAAAAATATTGATTGCAATATTTTAACTATGATCGCACATTATCAGAAAACTAACCTAAGTAAATACATGATATTTATTTTAAAAAGATCTTTATCAGCTTCCAAAAAAGTAACACAAAAAGTATATAAGAAATATATATTTGTTCTTTATGAGACATGCATAAATACTGTATATTTCGTCATATAATCTTTCAATAACAATACGATGTAAAAAAAGTTCAATATTTTTTGTTACCATATTAAACTATATTACCGTACTTCCAGATTGCAAATTATCGAACAGACTTTCAAGAGACTCTTCGGATATATTATATAGAAAGTGAACAACGAAACGATTTTTATGTGGTAATCAGTGTTACTTAAACGGAAAACAAATGATTGTCTCTCGTCTAAATACTTGCACATGCGCAGCAAAATCGACCTCAAAAATTTTTTCTTATATAATCGAGTTTACGCTGTTTTTTTATAACGGTCGAAGGGCAATCAGTGTTAATAATGTTATACTACGTTTTTATCTATGTGATTCAGCAGTCTGGAAAACGAAAATGTTTACATGGACCAATGAATCTGTAGTTGAATTTTTAATAAAAATGCGTGGTTAAAACGATACGAGAGCTTTATCAATTGTTAAAAAATATCTTCAAATCGCAAGTACGTGTTATCTATTAATGCAGTAGTTTTCTCATTCAAGTCCTCTGTTATAAAAACAAATTATCTGTGGTGACGAATGTGTATTTCTATGAAAGAAGCACATATTACTTAAGCCGAGCTTTATACAACAGAAAACACGAAGATCAATTAAAATTCATAAAAAATTATATAATCTAAATAATCCAATAGTCAGAATAGATAATACTATTAAAATAGAAGTAAGTTCAAAATGCATACTTTGTTAAATATTTATAATAAAAAAGATATAGCTTTTGGAACGACAACATTCATTAATTTAATTACAAACAGAAAAATCACAGTTTAAATTATTAAAAAATACATACAAAAAGAAGAGAAATGATTTAACGTAAAAAATACACATTTCTTTTTTCTCTTCTCTTAATATGAAGACTTAATTTATTCATTTTCACGCGATCTTTTCGCTGTCGTTATTATTATCTAAATTTAATGGTAGCGAAATTAAATCTAAAACAGAAAATATCGTTTAAAAGGTGTATTCTTTCTTTTCTTTTTTGAATTATCTTACTCATCGCTTCATCAATACTGTTTTCAACACTTATAAATTCATCTTGTTCTTCTTTTAATTGCACTTGTTGATCAAATTGTAAATCGGCTAAATCATCAATTATTTTTTCTGACTTTTTAGTTAGTTTCTCGAGTTGATCATCATCGATATCGATGAGAACATCGCTTGGTGTTGGTTGTGATTGACCAACTATGTGTTCATCAACAATCGTTTTCTTTTCTACAGTGGGAAATGATTCTGATTGTTGCTGTTCTTGTTGTTGTTCATTTAAATTCGGCGTCCATATACGTGTTGGTTGAATGATTGAACTAGTTTGATCAGATAACAAAACTTTTTCACCGTTCTATACTATGGAAAATAGAAACACCCGAATTGAATAAAGGTGTCCCTCTCATTCTGAGCACTTCTGAAAAATGTTGTCAAAAGAAATCTAAAAATGATTAAGACTCAGTTCACCTATTTTTACTCTTAAGTTAAAAGTTCCCAGAATTGCTAACCAAATCCTATGAAAAACACAGTTATGCAATTGTATTAGGGCTGAATCAAACTGCATTAAAATGTATCTCTTGATTCAGAGAAAAAATTCTGAGAAGCTCAATCAGCTCTGAATCTGGTGACGGAAGCAGGTTGGGTTTCTGAAGGAAGACAATTTCCAAAATTGAGCTTCTTAGCTTCTTACTGATTCAGAACTGAATATCCTTATCAGTGCTGCAAGAAGAAAAAATAAGTTTTGTGGAACATACTTTTTAGCTGTTTTGGAGTTGATCCAGACTCTGATTCAGCCCTGATAAGACTGCATGGCTGATTCAGCTTCTCAGACTGAGCTGATCGTCGCTTAGCGATATTTTTTGCAAATCGGAAAAGAATCGAAAGTTATTGGAAAAAACGCTAAAAATTGACAAAATTCTAGTGAGCCGAAAAATTAGACAGACATGTTTTCGATGCGTACGATTATAGTTTCGGTTTATCACGTTTCCTTTTCGAACATTCTAAAAATCTTCTTGAAATCCAAGTTTTTAACTTCAGAATATTGTTTTTTTATAAGAAAACTTTGGTAGATGTTTAGAGCACTCAGTCATACTAAACTGTCGGTGATGTACTTTTAGAAAAGAGAGATTATTTACTTTGCTCATTTCGGTATGGGTGCATATATACCTGAAAGAAATTTTTGTATGCGTCATGAGTACGTAAATGTAATCGTTCTAGAGCAAAATTTAAAAATTCTCTTGTTGCTAAACGTCTTTCTTCTATCACACTTGGTTTAAATTTTTCTAAAAGAAAACATTTTTATCATTAAATTAAAAGTAATAATAGAAATTTACCATTAAAACGAGATTTTTCAGGAAATGGTGGAAATTTTCCAGGACGATATACAGCTATATGATAACGATGAAGTATCTCATATAAATCACGAATTTCTGTGTACCGTTTCCAGTAGACGAGCTTAAACAAAATATAACGAGATAACTAATTATCTATGCTCAGAGATTTTGTACCTCATATGGACTTTCGGCTAAATCATTTGGAGTCACCTAAAAAACACGAATAAGAAACTCTACTACAGACACCGCCAAGGAGATTACATACTTGTAAAACAATTTTGTAAATTGTGTGACCATTCTGGTGCCGTTTAGTCTCAGGAACATCAAACGTGGAAAGCTCGTGCGACGAAGTCATTTATAGTTTAATCTAAAACGATGAGTATAAAAATATTTCCAATCAGAAAGTAGTGGATCATATGAAGTTTAAATCCATACTGTATGAAAATTTTCATTTCAAATACAAAAGTGTAGTAGAAAACAAAAGGGATCGCTCTTTTCTTACTTTATCGAAAACTTTCAACTTAATAGATCAACACATCTCCGACAACCGTAAGAAGTTCTTCATTCTTCAGTGGTGACTCTTCAGAACGTACCTTTTTTTTGCTTTAGCAAACTGGAGGCGACAATTCAGGCTAAAATAGTATAGTTTTCTTAGCTTTTCTTCTGCAGAGTGAGTCACACATGCCTCATCACAAACAAAAAAAAAACGATAGGTTCAAGGTAGATAACGATATATCATATGTATATGAAAGAACACTGACTTCATCTTTTCAGCTCGATGGAAAGAAAAACGAATAATAATAACAAAAAAATCAATACATCAATATCCAAAAATTTTCTTCCCAATGTTCACTCATCTCTAACGACTTTGGCCAGGGTTTACTAGGCGCGAAAATACATGCATAATAAAGCAGTATATCGATAATAAGTTTAAGTAAACAATAATGAACTCTTAGTCCTTCGAACACGAGCATCTGCCGAACTTGTACAGAATAGCTGCAACCTATATTATATATTACATTACAGTGTGCATATAATTCAGAACACAAAAAAAATCTAATTGGTTTATAATCACATGTAATCATAAACGTGGATAGAAGATGGCAGAGAAAGCAGCACATAAGTAGAGGTCAATACATTATGAATAAAATTTATTTCGTAATAACCAGACACTGTCAAAAACACAATTCATTCAATCAGCCATTCCCTTCTTTTAATTTCTCCATTTAACAGTGTTCGGAAAAAAATATTTTTGAAAAATATCTTTTGACTTTTTGATACAATTTTTGAATTTGAAAAATCTAATTCATCTAAATTCTGCACCGGAAGGTTCTTTATTATATCATCAATTGTTTTTTCATTCAAAATAATTGACCATGTGTTGGAGTCTCCATATTCTATAGTGTCATTTGTTATAGCTTCTCTAGCAATATTTTCATTTGTCACAGGATTATCATCTTTATCACTGATGATACTGCTACTATCAGAGTCTAAGTCGGTAATGGATATGCTGTGTTCCTGGTCGTGAAATTCATGAATATTTTCATTATCTTCTACATCTTTAATTTCAGTAGCTGCACTGGTACTTGCAGTATTGATGTCAGTATTAGTTAAAACAGTACCCATGGGAAATTTTATCGACTTTTCACGCGTGAGGGATCGTGAAATATCAGCTTGGACTTTCAAGAAATTTTGTAGGTAAAGACAGCAAGTTTCACGACAGTTTGGTCGTGTTGTTGCAACATCACACGCGTGGCTACGCGTGAAAAATCTTCACACGTGTACACAAATGAACAATCTTCACGCGTGATTACGTGTGAAAAAATCTTGACCATGCCGACCATCTATAGTCAACTGACTATACATGGTCACCATGATCAAGGTATAATGCAGATTTCATCAATGCAACTTCATCTATAACTTTTTGCACGTGTGACCATTAGTTTCTAAATTATCACATTTTATATATATCACCGCAAAGTAAGAGTCGAACCCGGGTACTTTGAATTAGAAATCTACGATACTACTATTCAGCTAACTTGCCTGAGAAACTACTGAATAAATCTCATATTCATACTTGTCGAATCAATCCTCACGAGTTATCACGTGTAAAAAAGTTCCCACGCGTGATTACTCGTAAACTTCCTAAATCTTTTTTCTTAATTTCCAACTTTTTCCAACTTTTTTAGTTAATACTTCCTCCCCGAGAACAAGATGATTCCCAGGCATATTTCTACAGCAAATACCTTCGGTCTACAGCAAAGATTTTCATCTGTATGTATGTACAACTTTCGAAAGATATAAGAGAAATTTGTATTTATGCTTGCCGCTCAATCTTCACGACATTTCACACCTGTAAAAGATTTCTCACGTGGAAGCGCGTGAAACGTAAGAATTTTGTCGCTTGGGGTTAAGCGTGAATATTATTTACAAAATGGGTTGCGTGAAACACTGACATGCGAATAAATGTGAAGATATTTTTCACAATGAAATTAGTAGGAAACATTTTCATGCGTGTCCGCAAGTGATATTTTTTACGGAAATTTTAACATGAGAAATTCACATGTGGCCACTACACACTTCACGACTTTCACCTATGATCACGTACAAAAAATATGACGCGAAACGTTTTCGTGACCAGTTCACCCATTGTCACAAGTGGAATATATTTTTCACGCGTGCTCACACACCATTTTATGATGTTCACGTGCGACCACAATTCATTTCACGATATTCACGCGTGTACCTACTAAAATTTCCCCATGGGTAGAGTTTGTGTTGCTTTGAGTTTTTAAGAATGTGTCTATTTTAGAAATCTTTGATATTAAGGGCCCCCCTCCCCTCTAAAAATTTTTTTTCCCAGAACACCCAATCTTACTGAGATTTTTATTGAGTATGTATCTGACCATTGATAGTTCTCAGTAAAAATTTGAGCTCATAACATTGAGTTTTTCGCGAGTTATTGTAACATCAAGGGTCAAAAAGTAGGTGCCATGTATCAAAGATTTTGTTTTCAATTTTAATGATACGGACCTCGGGGTGGTGTCAAAATGTACAGAAGACCTGCCCCTACAACCTAACAAAGCCGGATTTTTGAGAAAAAAAAATTAAATTTTTTAGACAGTTTTTTCGAAAAACCTAGATTAATTTTTTAGAAAACGCGAGTTTTTTGTAAACAAATAAATTGAAAACAAAAATTTCGGCTTTGTTAGGTTGTAGCACCGATATTTACCTTCATTTTAAAACCTTCCCGAGCTTTCTAACATTTAAAATGGCGGAGAAATCTTTGACGCACAATCAGGTAAAACAAAAAAACCAGTTTCGATAAAAGCGCAAAACAAGTTTCTCCTTTGATTATCGCGATTTTTTTTGGAAAGTGGTACAGGAAAAAGTCTGAGAGCAGTTCGTCATAGGTTATCGGCTATGGCGAATCGAATGAGCACATGTAGACACATGTGCGACGTACTTTTTGCCATATGTAAGCGTTATTCCCACGTAAAAACCATAAAAATCAATCAGTTTTTGATGTGCCTTAGAAAAACCGCTGTAAAACCCTCAAAAATCATCGTAGAATCAATAAATCATAGTGCATTCGAAAGCAGATATATTGGGCTATACAACTATGCATAAATGTCCAAATCGAGTTTTTTGTTGAAAAATGCTTTTTTTGAGGGGTGGGGAGCCCTTAAAGATTCACGCTTTGCTTCTTTTTCTTTGTTAATTTTTCGTTTTGCGGTACCACTAGGTGTTTTTCTATTCATTTTACTTCTTTTACTCGTACTGATTTTTTTAAATGTAGTTTTAGTTGCTAAAAAGTGGAAAAAAAATTTAATTTAAAATACTTCTTCCCACTAATTTCACGTCTCCTAAAGGTTCACTATAGACGGATTGCACTGTATTTTGAATACCTAACAACCTAACAAATTATTATTAACACGTTGAGTGTCCGGTGCATCATATGTGATGCACGGAACTTTTGACTGAGACGTCCATGCATCACATATGATGCATTATCATCAATTATAGTAAAAAATATATCAGATGGTGTAATTTTTCCTTCTGGGCCGGTAGTAGAAAATTGAAATTGTATACCTTCAC